AACAAATATGGCAACCCTAATGTCTATTAATTTGTTGATTTCGATTCAGCTATAAAAAAAAATCTTAATCTCATACTATACAATTTTTCCTGGGCAGTGATTGATCACACATAACCGGTCTAAGCCACAATCACGAACTTGAGTTTATTGCTTGAACTGTTGCAGGTAAGACAATATTCCAACTCATCTTGGGAATACAACTTTGCTAATTCAGGATCATAAGGGAGCTGATTTCCATTTTTATGATACCATGAGCCATGTAATCCATAATTCCCATGTTTTTCATAGCAAATAGGGCATGGCGAGTTCTATGGCTGAGCTAATGCAAAATTATAATTATCAATCCCCCTAAAACTATTTTGGAATTTCAGGTATATGAAATGCTTTAAGACAGAATCAATAATTAATTTTGGATAGGGTTTAGCTTCGTAAGTGATAGGCTCAAAATCGGAGGTTTGAGGTTTTGCTGATACACTTGTCACAGCTTCTGATAATTGCCATGGTTCACATCCAGTTTCTTTTTTATATCTTTTGTATAATTTGGTATGAATCTTATCCGTCAAAATACTTGGTAACCTACTTAATTTGGCATGCCAGTCCAGACATTCAGGAGTTAATATTTTATCAGACTTGGTCATGTTGCTTTTTATATGAATCAATTTAAATTTAATTAGGTAGTAGTTGACCTGTAAAAAAATATCACATAATGAGGCATGAGCAATAGAATATAATATAAAATAATGAGACTATACAGTTATCTCAATTTTACACTGTTCACATTTAATAAAGTAAGATCTGGCTTCATATCTACCTTCTAAACTTTCCTCATCATCATGCTCTATCTTACATAATAGACATAATTTCTCATCAGTAATTCCATAATAATCAAAATTTTCACTACTAAATTCCCTACATAAATTAGGATATTGATCTAATGTCTTATTACGAAAATAAGTACAATCATGAGTTGGTTTAGATTGGGATGCAGATGATACATTTGCCGATGTATTAACCTCAGAGCCTTGCCTTCTCGCTTGTGCCTCCAATGCATTTGGGCCAGAAGTTAATGACTTGGCCAGAGTATTTACTTTAATTTTTGGAGATCTATGGGTTGATCATGACAAATTTATCACGGTTTTTGAAGTCACATGATCTAATATATTTTTAATCTGAGCATTGGTTAGTCCTAAAATACTACTTGCGTTATATATGATCTGCTTGATTTTAGCAATGCCCATCCCCTCTTCTCCAAATAATTTAAGAATTTTTCGGGATCTCTGAGTTTTTTACGTAAATTTGCATCTGTGATGCAAGGTAAAAAGTGTTTCATTTCCTTATATATTTTTGTTCGTGCTATTTTATCCTTAATACTACTATCAGTTATAAGACTTTTAACTCTATTTTCGAATTCAAGTGAATAATAATACCAACACAAAATTTCTTCTTGGCCCTTTTTAATCGCTTTATCAAACAAATATGATAAACTTTCTGCAGAGCCTAAAATTAAGTTTTCCATATCCTGAATACAAGATTTATTAATTTCATCATCTGAGGATATGGAGTTAGTTTGGCAGGTTACTTCGTATTGATTCTGGATCAATTCTTGAATTAAACCTTGTACTATAATTTGACTTGTGTCAACCACATCAATTTCATCATCCTACTCCAATCCTGATACTTTGAAGATATTTGTATGTACATAGTCTAATCGTGACAAATTTGTTACGGTTTCCTCTAGATTTTCCAAATTTTCAGAAATCACATGACTCTGATCGTTGGCAGTAGTCAGGTCCTGAGCAGTCAAATCACGTTGAAGCTTCTTCTTCCTATTTCATTGCCTTATTTCATTGCTAACTTTTTCCTTATATGCTGAATCTATGAATTCATCATCCTCTTTTTCTTCCAATGACTTAGTCCATAAACAACTACACTAGGACTATTCTCTGCATTAGAGTTATCATCGATAGGTAGCGAAATAAATGATTGGGGAGTTACCTGTGATTCTGAATTAATTTGAGATTTTGGTATAGATGTATCACTTTGCACTGAAAGATTAATAGCAATTTGCTCCTGCTTGATTTTCCCAACATCACAATTTAGTTCTGCAATAAGCTCAGCCTTTTCTTTATCGCTCTGCTCTAATTTTACGAATCTGGCCTCATTCTCTTTCATAGCCTCCCTTAATTTAGTATTTTCAGCTTTAACCTTGACATTTTCGGCCTTAATCTTGGCATTCTCAGCCAGAAGCTCGACGATACGTTGTTTCAATGAATCAAGTTCAGATTGCATATTCAATAATACCTTTCATATAGAATGTGATTTATTTAAATGCATTTTATTCAAGTGGGACTTTAGGTCTCATTTTTTTATTCACAATACGTCTCTATATTCCACAAAAAATATATTTGATACAATGTATAGCAATTTTTGACTTGAATTCTTTATTAATACAGAAAATAAATTACATGATTCGATGATACATAGACTTATTTACAAAGTAAAATGGCGGTCTTATACTAATGCCCATCTAAAATATCTGTACTAACACAATATCAATATCCCATCATTAACTCTAATCTGATTTCATTTGTCCTAACATTAATGTTCTGGATAGAATAAAATGGTCGTCAGTTATATGTAAAGCATGCAGAGTCAGAAATAAATTAACAGTATTGACCTTAGTAAAACTCACCAAAAGTTTATGCTCTCTGCCTAATAAGGTCCTCGAAAGTTCTGAACAAAAAAAAGGTATTAGCTCTGCAATTGCACAACCACAACTGAAAAAAATATGCTACATTCACCTTAATTGCGAAGTGTCTCGTCCGAACCTCAATAATTTTTCGTCAACACTTCTTTCAAACTGCTAGCGAGAATGCGAGATAATGCTTAGAGAAATAGAACAACGTTTTGGGTGATAGGAGTAAGAAAATCTTTACATCACAGAGCGTTACTGCACTTTATTAATTTATTTCTGCTACACTAATTAAGTCAAATATGGTCAATCGTATAACCACAGTATAGCACAATAAAATTTATTACATCTTTTCCTTTCCACCTCATCATATTCTTTTCAGTTTCCACCTTATTATATTATTGATATTTTTTAATACGTAACAATGGATAAAAAAATGGATAATATTTTTGACTCTACTAGCTCTATTTTCGATAACCTAAATCTTCATGTCAAACCAATGGACTCCTCTATTAAGAATGGAATGAACACTAGACGAGGTAATTTTTAGCTGTTTATAAGAAACAGGAAAAAGAAAAAATTTTTTAAGTAATTTTCACCCTATATTTGGGAACGTATCAGGGAAATGGCGAGAAGGAGCAGAAGGGAATGAACAGTATACAACAAAATTTTTCTTCTGTATAAGGACAACAACAAAATTTTCAACGATCTCGAGAGACGTCCAAGACCAATAATATTGAGGGCAAATGGAGCCTTGATCACTGTAGCAACCCCATCAAACGCTCTCTGCTACTTGTATATGATCAATCTAAGCTTCCCAAAGAAGAAAGGAACAAAGAAAAATCGCGAAAATTATCTAAGACAAGTGGAGTTGATTTTTCAACACCAAGACCAAATCTGTCGATGGATATCAATGATGGAATCTAATCGCACCAAACAACCATATATAGTCAACGCTTCCTGGAAAACTGCAGACTAGAAAAATATCATCAACGTTGCATTTGGTGCATCGGCTTCAACCAACTGGAAATACAAGAGAGAAGTGTGCAGAATTCGGCGAGAGAATGACAGATACCTTCTTCCTCAAAACCAGTATGGGAATGTGATTCCGGAACTGAAAAAGTGGGAGTTCAGAAACTGCTCGGAGACGAATGCTTGGACATGTTTATGCTAGTGGAGATCAGATCTCCAAATCAAGTCTCGAATAATAACAATATACGACAGGATAACAAAGGATCCATACAAAAATTGCAAAGCTATTCAGAATTGGTTGACAGGTTAAAGGATGATTGTGAGTTTCATGAATTCTATGAACCTGTAGATAAACGGTTAATTGACCAAGAGAATAGGAAATTCTTCAGTAAAGAATATGGTATCACACCTATTCACCCACTGCTTGTAGATCATTCCAGATCTGTTCTTCTATTTTTAGATGATCGTGGTATTATATTTATGTGGAGTGAATCGGAAAGTGAGATGTGTATCTTGGAAATCAATAAATTGGAAGGTCTTGCGAACTATCTTTACCACTCAAATAAGATATGTGTCATTATAGAAGACACCGGTGAGCTGATACCTAAAGTGGAACTTAAACGCCGTGAAACAGAAGAGTTTGAAAAGAAAAAGTTGGAAAAGAAAAAGTTGGCAGAGAAAAATAGGGAAAAAAGGTTGGCAAAGAAAAAAAGGTTGGCAGAGGCAAAGGAAAAAAGGTTGACAGAGGAAAAAAGGTTTGCGGAAAAGCAAAAGTGATCTGGGCATTTCACTATAAAAAGTATACATTTTGCCATTGATCTTTCTGATTGATGTGATCTTCGTAGTTTTAGAATCATTCTTCGAATTTACTCCGGTTGGTTATTATAATTATAACGTCCTTTATTTTTTTACATTGTCTCAGATTTTTTTTTGCTTTACTTTCGTGAGGAATTATCGAGGCAATAAAAAGCATTGATTTATAAGTAAAGTTTTTTTGAGATTTCTCATTAAACTTATCTACAGACGGAACTGAAGAAAACTGTAGAAAATCTGAACATTATTGTATATAGTGAGTTTCTATATATATGAGATGTGCCTTGACATTTTTTATTTTATAGCTTTATTCAATGCTTTTTTTGTAATCATACAGCCATTTTCTAAGAAAAATAAAAATCTATTTGCTTAACTGCCTGGAATATCTTTTCTTTTTTGGAATGAATGTGATAAAAAGGGTAAAAAAATAAAAGCATATAGAGATAAATCATGATTGGTTATGTAATCATACATATGTGTTAAAAAATATTTTATTTGTGAAATAACTGCTAATGATACTAGATTACCCAATCATTCTTAATATAGTTTTTTCCTGGGCGATGATCGATTCACATGAGTCTTTTATACTTTCACATTTACTATTGGAATTCTATGTAGATGTGGAACAATCCCACATTCGAGACGATAGGTGTGTTCTTTGTAATATTCACCAGAACCCCATATACTCATTATGCTATTCTTTATACCCTTTTCTTTATGATCTCCATTACAAATAAGACAGGATGCTGAATTAACAAGATTAAAACTATCACCATACTTCTCACTATACTTCAAAGATAGATAAGAAAATTGCTCTAGCACTAACCCAATTATATGTTTTTGCTTCTCTTCTGGATCATCAGGTAAAATAGAAATCGGAAGTCTGATTTGTTAGATAACATCACCTCAGCTTTGGGCAAATTATCCAGACCGATTGTGGCTGAAATGCTTATCTCAGCTGAAATTTCAGTCATGTGACTTGATACTTCTTCTACATCAGCATTATCATTATTGTTATCGTTGTCATTATCATTATGCTTGAAGAAATTATCTATGATATCTTGAACTTTATCATTAGTCAACTCAGAAATAGAGTTCGCAATATATGTCGTAATATACTTAATATTTTCTACATCTATCTTTTCAAATAAATTATATATTTTTATGGCTTTCTGAGTTTTCCCTTACAAGTATTTATGTGTAATTTCTGGGAGTTATAAACTGATTTCTTCAGATTTCTTTTTACAGAGAATGGAAAGTTCCTCTAACATTTTATCATAAATAATCCCTTTCGCTTTTTTCTCACCAACTTTTCTATTTTTCATAGTTTCGTTAACTTGAGTTATAAATTTTTTTCCATAGTAGTACCAGCACAAAATTTCTTTCTGATTCGCATGAATTGCATCATATTCAACATCAGTCACTTTATCGAATAATTAAGCTAAAGTAAGCAGTGGTACTGTAGAAGAAATTTGACTCTGTTGTGATAATATATCATTAGAAGAACTAAGAATACATTTTTGAGACTGTGCGTTAGTTTGAATACCATTAGATATCATTTGAGAAATATTTTCTGCACCTTTTTTCCTATGACTATTTTTCGGCAGGGGGTCCCGACTGAAATTTCAATCACAAGATTGGATATCACTGATATCTTTTCAGAAGTAGAACACCTAGTATTAAATAGTTCTTTTGGAATCGATTCTTGATCTTGGTTAAGAGATACTTGCTCTGCTTTACTAAATTTCTTCTCCCTATTACGTTGCCTAATCTCATCACTAACCCATTTCTTATACGACTTGTCCAAGAAAACATTTGTTTTTACATCATCTAATCTCTTAGAATTGATAAATTCATCACCATATATTTTGCAATTAGACTCACTATTTGAGCTAACTCGCTGAACTTCTTGAGAATCGAGTATGATAATAGTTGATGCCTTTACCTCTGGTATCGCTTCCTTATCTTTCTGAGGTTCTTCACCTATTACCAAAGAACCCTGTTCCACTATCGCAAGTCTAGCTTCAAGCTCTATATTTTTTTGCTCTAATTCATTAACCTTGGTATCACATATCTTATTCTCTTCAACAGACTGTCTTAAAAGTTCGGCAACTCTGGCCTTAAGTTCAACTTTCTCAGCCCTAAGCTTATCATTCTTAACCTTAATTTCAGCAAATCTCTTCTTAAGTTCGTTAATCCCAACTAAGAGCTTGGCATTTAATTCCTTTAATGAATCGTTAGATTGTGCATTAGACATATCAATAAATTTTATACAAAAATATGAAATATTCAAAATGAATAAAATACGAGATTTTGACCAGACGCCCCAGCTGAAATTTTGACAAAAAAATTTTATGTGACTTTTAGGGATATCTTTTAGAAAATGATTATTTGTCCACATATTTCAGGACCTTTATTTTTAGCATCATTAAGCAAATCTACCACTATTTCCGTAGTTGTCAGTTGGTATAATATCACAACTGATCCACAGCTTAACCATCCTTTTTTACCTTGCCTTATTAGAATGATAAAATCAGTTATATAAGTATCTATTTTATTTCTATAATATTCTGCTTTAGAGACGAATCCATCTTGATTAGAAATGTCACGAAATGCCTTCATACTAAAGAGTTCTTTCATTAAGGAGTGATATGCTTTTTCTCTTGGATCATCACATTGGTTTTCGAGCTTAATCGAAAGATTAATAAAGTTATCAATCTAAGGCGTATTTTTTTGGTCATATGATAATACTTCGTATACTTCATCAACTACTAGACCTTGACGAATAAGTTCTCGCAATTCTGTATCTGTTACTGTTAAACTTTTAGGCTGAATCTCATTGGTTGATGTTGAAGTTGCTGATAGTGTAGATTGAATATGTCTTTTATTCTTTTTACGAACTATAATCTTAACTTTAGAAGAATGAATTTAAAATCTCAAAGAAAAAAATGAAGAGACAGACGCTGTGTATGGATTAGCAAAATCTTCTGAGGTGATAATCACCATTCTGATTAAGAAGTTCAGAAATAAAATCGTTTGTAGTATCAATCGTACTCATAAACACAGGAAGAGGCGCAGTATTACTATAGATATCCTCATCATCTGATTCAGTTTCAGAGCCAGAGCTAGAAGATTCTGAATCAGAGCAGTACACTTCATCAAAATTTTCAATATGAATATTTGGATTTAGTTGGTGCATGGCTTTTTTGCTAATATTTTTACACCCATCCAAATTTAGAAATTTTAAATTGAGACATGAGCGAGCAATTTCTCTGATAGTCGTATTGGTAATATTACAGTATTCTAGTTCGAGATGCTGGAGTCTTAGGCAGGAACGTATAATATTACAAATTGATAGTTCACTGACAAATGAACAACCATCTAGCTCGAGATGCTCTAATTTATGACATTTATAAGCCAACGCTTCAATAACCTCATCACCAATATCATTATAACCAATCTCTAAGTGTCTTAAATTTGGAGATCGTTTGATAATAGCTATAATTAATACATCATTCTGCAAAGCCATAACCCCACTAAAGTCAAGATACTCTATATTAAAACATCTTCGTATTAAAGTACTAGCATCTTTGATATCTCCACGACTAAACGCAATATCAAGTTTTCGTAAATTTAGGCATGAGTTTAAGATACAACTTATAGATCTATCTGTGATCCAACGCGCTTCGGCAAAATAAAACTCTTGCAAATCATGACAATTTCCTGCGATTTCAAACAAAGATTTATCGCTAATATTTCT